GATGATGATGATGATGATGATGATGATGATGATGATGATGATGATGATGATGAGGAGTGGTGGTGACGATAATGATGGTGATAATAATAGTGATAATGATTCGAGTTGTGATATGTTTTACTTTTATTTCTATATTTTGATTTTGATTTTGCATCATTTTTCCCATTCTTTTCGATGGATTAAAACATGAGCACACATATACATTCAAACCTTCTTGGATCATCCTAATTTCTATACTTTTGAACGACAATCAAGATTACTGTAATCAAACTTTTATAAAACCAAGTACTTCTTTATGCAATTTATAACATAACATAATAAATCATTTTCATTTATGTACTGTAATTTCAAGTTTACGTAAGAAAACTCAAGGACTGACCAATATAGTTTAACCAGCAAGATTCCTTTATTGTCAAGCGTCTTTGTGGTGCCTGCCTGTTACTTTAGTAAAGTTTTGGTGGATCTTTGATGAGAAAAATATCCTGTGTTTTTGTTTGGTCTTTTTATGTACCCCTAATATTGATTTTCACTAACTCTATACGTTGTATCTGTAGTGGTAGTTTCCAGTTGTATAAGAATATTATATTTTTATTATAAAAGTTTTTGTTTCTTAATCTTTTCTTCCAATATCCTCTTACAATTGAAGTTTCACAACTCTGTACACACAATGTTAATGGGATGAACATTATTTTGGCTATCTCCCCTCATAACATTTGTGCTGCAACAATTGACATGTCTTTTGATTGATTTAATCATCATGCCTCTCAGGTTCTATAGACCGCACGATTGTGATGTCCTACTGTGATATAATTTCTGCTGTGATGCTTACCTTAACATTTTTTTTTTTTACTACTTTATGTTTACACGAATTATACGTTTTGGTTTTGTACTTAATATATTTGGTCCAGGGAAATCTGTTTCCTCCAGACGCTGTCATTATACGTTGGAAAACGTATGGCAGAAATCTTGGTGGTTATAGTTACCTTGTCTGTATTGATATTTTGTTTCATTTTATTTCTACAAATCTTCTGGTCTATCTGAATGTGTTTGATTTGGTGTTTGCTGTTAAATAAATTGTAAAATGGTATGACACAAGCTCGATTGTTTTGATTTATTGTTTGTTTTTGTTGTTGTTTCAGCTGTCCGACTGCATGGACAGACAGACAGACAGACAGATAGCTAAATAGACAGACAGACAGAGACATACAGACAGACAGCTAAGCAGACAGACAGACAGACAGACAGACAGATAACTAAATAGACAGACAGACATATAGCTAAAGAGACAGACAGACAGACAGACAGACAGACAGATAGCTAAATAG